TAAATATAGTTTATGTTTTTAAAATAAAATTACTGTGAATCTTTGATACCTTAGTTTAAGTGTCTACACTTGATCTGTACTATTGAATGTTTTAGCCACTAACCCCATGGCTACTGGGCACTTGAGATATGCCTTAGTCATGCTGGTAAGTGTAAACTATACCAGGTTTTTGAAAAAGTAATGTGACATTAATTTTAAGATAATGACTATATGTTAAAATGACATTTTTTCTTTTGAAATGACTTTCTTTATATTGGATAAAGTAGTTCTGTGTGGTAGTTCATGCTTGTAAACCTAGCACTTGGAAGGCAGAAGGATTACTACAAGTACCAGGCCAATTAAGGCTATAGAGTGGGACCCTATCTCAAAATAAAAAAAGAAACCCAAATAAATAAAATAATAAATTATAAAAATTAGTAACTTTTTAAATTTTCAAAACATAGCTACTGCCTGGAACATTTAAAGTTGTATAAGTGGCTTCATTATATTTCCGTTGGTTGTACAGTCTGGTCTAGATGGTCTAATGTTCATTAAATACTTAAGAAAATGTGTAAAAACAGCATTACCTCAGTTTCCCCAAGGATATCCTCTATAAAATATCCAGCAAAATTCACTAACAAATGAAAAGCTTTCAAGCAAAATAGATACTTTCAAGTCTATGTCAAAAATTTATCTTTAAAAAAAAGGTTTCTTTTATGTGTGAGTGCCTGACTAAGTGTGTGTGCAATCGGTGTGGAGGTTAAAAGGGTGTTGGAATTCCTGGACTGGAGTTAATTGTGGCTGTAAGCCAACATGTGTGCTGGACCTGAACCTGTCCTCTGTAAGAGCAGCAAGTGCTTTTAACCACTTGAGCCGTGTGTGTGTGTGTGTGTGTGTGTGTGTGTGTGTGTGTGTGTTTGTGTGTACACACATATACACCTATATAAATTACAAACAATGCGCACACACACACACACACACACACACACACACACACATATATATATTATAGGGAAATGGCATTTCATTTGAATTGGTTTTGTTTTTTCTGAGTTTTTCTACTTTTCTTTTTCTTTCTGTGAAAGCAGTATTTAGAGTCTCACACTGTAGCTCAGAATTTCCTAGAACATGCTGCATAGTCTAGGCTGGTTTCAAACTCATGGTAATAATTTATGCCTCAGCCTCCCCAGTGCTGGGTTACAGATGTCAGTCCTCCTGTCTGACTAAGGGTGGTTACTTTATTTTCAGTTCTTTGTATAAAGGAATCTTGAACTTGAGATGTCGTTCTAAAGAAACAAAGCAAAGAAAGAAATGGGTTTTCAGAGCTGTCATTTTGACACGTCATGTTTTCTATGCTAAACTCTTGTGCTTTCTGTTTTTTTTTTTTTTTTTTACTGATCAGAGAGAAATTTGTATGTGTTGACAGGAAAGCATGAGTCAGGCATATTGTCTGAATGTTTGTGACTACAGAATTCCTTTGTTGGACTCTATAATCTGAAATATAATACGTCGAGCCTTTGGGAAGCTCTGTTCTCATGGATGGAATTAATATCTTTTATAAAAGAGACTTTAGGAAGCCTTTGGCAGTGTCTGTCACATGTGACATGGTTATATAAGGCACTGTTAGTGGGAAACAGCCCTTGTCAGACTTGAATTTTAGTGTGTGGACTTCCCAACTTCAGAATTGTGAAGAATAAATATCTGTTGTTTATAAAATACCTAATGCAATTATTTTGTTATAGCAGGCCCAGAGAGACTTAAAGAACCAGATCTTACTGATTTGCTAACCGTTTAATTGACAAATTATTTTCTTTCTCCAAACATGTTTCATATCCTGTTTTAGTGTGATATTATTAGAGACCTTGGAATCTTATGCTGGAAACACTGTTCACTTTGCGATAAGACTCTCTGCTTTTAAGTGCCAGAATAGTTAGTTTCCCATCTGTTTTCCTAGCACAGCATTTTTCTGCCTTAGTTCTTTGCAAACTATCTTAGCAATTTGCAGATTACTAGTTTGTATGCTGACTGGTTGCTGCTGTGTTTTGCTCTGATAACCACGGGAAAACAGTTAGCCAAATCTCATCTGGTATTCATAGTGTTTAATGTCATCTGTTCATAGTTGCCAAATTTCTGTATTCTTTACCTTTTTTCCCCTCTGAACTTTAGGCTGTGTTTCAAACTGTTGGTACTGCCCACAAGGATGTTTGAAAGTAACTGAGTAAGTTTTAGAGGAACTTCTCAGTGCCCACAGACTGTATCAGTGATGTTGCATCCTATTTTCCCAGTTCCCAGACTCTGGTCTGGAAATTGTTGACTTTCAAGCATTAAGTTTGTCTTCTACCATTATTGTAATTTCTTAATTATGTTGAAATTAACATGGTCATCTGTTTTGGGGTCTTCCAAGTTATTAACCACATTCAAAGATACTTTATTTTAATTATATATTTTTTTATAAGTCTACTTATTAAGGCATTTGTAAATGCTTTTCTTGAATGCCATGTCTATTTAATGACATAGATCTAGGAGAGGCACTGTTAAATGGTTTTCTAAAATGTGAGCATTAGAGTGTGCTTGCCAGTTAGAAGCAACTTACCCGTTGCTTCTTGGCTCTAAACCTGTATATTGTATAAATAATGTAGTCAGTTATAAGACAGTGGTATTTGTGTATCTAAACAAAAAAGGCATATAGAACAATAGTATGCTTGTGTATGACATTTACCACAATAGATCCTGTAAACTTTGTATTACAATGAGAGCTAAATGAGTTTGCAGGCCCAGGATACTACACTGCTGTAGGCTTTACGTGTGTGTGTGTGTGTGTGTGTGTGTGTGTGTGTGTATTTTCTGTATATTTAAAGTATATGATTTAGTTAGGGGTTTTTTGTTTTGTGTGTGTTTTTGTTTTTTGGAAACAGTCTCACACATAGACCTGACTGTGCAGCTTACTATACAGCCCAGGCTGGCTGTGAACGTCTAGTGATCTTTCTGTTCCTGCCTCCGATGTTTTAGCATTACAAATATATACCACATTAGATCTATAATTTTTTTCTTCACACTTTCTTTGTGGAAGGGCATTGAGACAGTCTAATTACATAGTTCAAGCTGGTCTTGATCTTGTCATCCTCCCATGTTAGCTTTCCAAGTGCTGGAATTATAGGTGTGTTTTGCAAAACTGGAATCTTGATATATTTGTGACTCTTATGCATGTAAAAATAACTGGTTTAAAACAATGTGGGGGTGTACAAAATACTTTTTTATTTATAAATTTTATTTAAAATTAAACTTACTTGAAAAACTTTGGTTAAAAAGATACTTGTGCATGTATACATGCATTTGTATGTCTGTTAGTAAGTGAGGATTATTGTTGTTTCTTTTAGTTGTCCTTCCTGTCCCACTGGAAGGTCTGTAGAGGCAGTTAAAGCATGTGGAGCTGTCCTCCCTACACTCTCACACACCAAACAAAAACAAAAACAAAAAACCCCAAACCAAGCAATGCTTTTCTTTTGGAGGCTGTCCTAAGGCTGTTAGATCAATGCTAACAAGCTTCCTGCCCAAACCTTTTATTGGTCACATTAAGAGAAAACAAATTATTTAACTATGAAACAGTATGTTGGATCTATTTAATTATATGGTTAAATTACGGACTAATTTACAGCTGTTCAGAGTATCCAATAAATATGTAAGCTGTCTAATCAGGTACTTAATGAACGTGCATCAAATTATGCTTCATGAGTAAAGATTCATTTTAAAGAATCTGTTGTCTAGAGAACATCTACATGGCTGAAGACTGGTTTCAGACAAACACAGTTGACATGTTTCAAATATTGTTTTACTAGAGTATGGATGAGGGAAAATACACACACACACACACACACACACACACGCTGTATACACACACAATTTGAAATTGGATTAACATCCTGTAAAAGTGCATTATGTAAATGACTTGCTGTATGATGGTGTTTTCTAAGTTTGGTTAAAGGTACTCTTTAACTCAGTAATAGTAATGTTTTTTTGTTTTATATGTGTACCAAAGAGTTTCACAAGGTTTTGGTATAATACAGCTTAGTTTCATAAAGAAAGTTTCTTATTTAAGTTTTATTCCTGGGAGGTTGTATATTATTTCATAGCCCTTTAAGTTTATTTCTCTATCATATTTAATAACCTCCCCCCCCTCTTTTTTTGGAGACAGGGTATATCTCTGTGTCCTGGGATACACTCTGTAGACCACCAGGCTGGCCTTGAACTCAAAGAGATATACTTGTTTCTGTCTTCAGAGTGCTGTGATTAAAGGTGTGTGCTACAATGCCTGGCTAAAATTGCTTTTAAGGTATCTTTTAAACTATAAACTGAAATCCTTTCATATTTGAAAAATGTGACAAATTTAAATGAATAAGGCTGAGTGAAAAATCTACTAATTTCAGCCAAACAAGGTTCTTCAAGCAATAAAACCTGTTCACACAAAAATAATGGCTGGAACAGTTGGTTTATTACACAGATTAATCATTATTGAATGTACAAGCCCCAGAGGAATCATTGGGTCTTTTATACATGTTATTTTTCATCAAATGGAGTTTTTACTCTTATATCCAAATGGGTTAAACAGTTAACATAAGAAAAATAAGAGCTATTAGTGAAGTATGTGCTGAGAAATCACAAATAAACTAAAGAATGTGGAGAGAAAGGCGGTTGAAGAGTCAGGGAGGTATAAAGGATTTGGGAACAAAGCCAGTCACACTTTATGGACTAATAGCATCAATCTATTTTTCTTAACCAGTTAGACCTTAAAGTACAGGTGGGTTGGGTTTAATCTGGTTGGCTCTAATGCTCATCTAAGTTCTAGGTGTTATGGAATAAAATGAGTACAGACACTTTCATGGTCACCTAACTTTTCATAACTTTAAAAATTTAAATGGCTTCCACTTAAAAGCAATCTCACAAACTCCAGCAGATTTGTGGGGCTTTCTCCCTTCTAAGCAGTGTAGGGCACCCACCACCCCTTCACACTGGTTACATTTAAGTCAGTTAGGAAAACTTTTAATCTCACATCTTGGTTATGCCTCGAGAGCACTCCTGTGCTAGGACAGTACAGTATTTCTGGTGCGGACAACTTGCAGCTGTACCGGATCAGGTGAACAAAGGTGCGCCAGGAAGGGATGAAACGGGTGCGGTGTGGGCTCACAGCAGTCAGATGGGAGTCAGAAGGACTTTCAGAGTTCCCCTAGCTTTATTTGTAGAGGATAGCCAATAATCTCTTTGGTCACATGGCATACTTCTGCGTCCATTCCCGAGCTGTTCTGTTGTACTTGTCCCTGTCTGTTTTGTAGATCTGAGCGATCTCAGGCACTAGGGGGTCATCTGGATTGGGGTCACACAGCAGAGAACTGATGGACAGAAGCACTTTGGAGATGGTTAGTGCTGGAGACCACTGTGAGCGAAGAATATCAAGACAAATGCTGCCGTTACTGTTAACATTTGGATGATAAATTCTTGTTGTAAATTCAACCTTGGGCGGTTTGAAGGGATACTCTGTTGGGAAGTCAATTGTCAAGAAAAAGGCCCCGCCCTGGTAGGGACTGTCATTGGGCCCCATGATTGTAGCTTGCCAGTGGAACATGTCTTCCCCGACGGGGCCCGCTGAACACTGGGCTGGGGGATCCTGCGCCAGGTCGTTCAGTTCCTTGTGGATTCTCTTAAGAGCCATGCTGGGAGGCTGTCGTGGTAGGCCCTGGCGGACGAGGCAGGGGCTGAGGCAGCCTCGTTGGTTGTGGATCAGCTGCAGAAGAGGAGGTGGGCGCCTCTGGCCTGGCCCTGGCAGGATGCACAGGGGGCCGAGGCCCACTCAGCTCCCTCCCGGGCCAGCCACCGTGGACACAGTGTCCGTCTTCACATCGGTTGGCACATCACCCTGCAGCCGCCCTTCTTGTGCTGCCGCAGAAGCGCTCTCTTCCTCCGCAGATCCCTCCGCCGGAGCCCGTGCCCGGGCTCGTGGGCTCGTGCCACGGTCTGTGCCTGCTACTACAGACCCACGCGGAAGGGACAGCCAGGGAAGGTGACAGTGCATCAGGGACGATATGATTGTTTGTTTTGTAACATACCATCATCACAGATTCGTAATATGTTGTACTATGCTGTCATGATGCAGCTGTCACCAGGATACCACGTAATACCTCTGGTTCACTTTGAACAACTACTGATGACTGAAAAGACAAATGTTTCAAATCTCAGATAGAAGGACTTCTTTCACTTTTTAATTTTTGATTTTAGAGTTTTAAAGATTATTCCAAAAATTTCTAGAATATACCAGAAACTTGAGAAAGCAGATAAATGCTTACATCTCTTCTCTTTATAAAGGGTACCAAAATAATCTTTCACTAAGTAGTTCACATTTTAAACACATTTTGGAAAGCTTACAGTGACAAAAGACAGGTCTCTATTTACATTCCGAATGTTTTCCCTCTTAGTTTAAGGAACAAAAAGGCAAGTAAAAAAGAAGAAACAAACCAGAATAAATAACAGCAAAAACTAAAAAGCACAAGAAACACAGATACAGAAATAAAACCTACAATAACACAAAATTGGAAACCATAATACCCAAGTAAAAGACCAGTTTAAAAACAAAAATCCGTAAAAACACCATAAGTTAGTTCTGAATTGGCTGTCTACTGCTGATTGTGGGCCCTGCCCTTAAGTGTGGTTTATGTACCCAGTGACTCCATCGTAGAAAACTCATTTTTCCTTTGCAAGTGGTTGTCAGTTGGAGATAGCTTCTATGTTAGGGATTGTAGATGTGTTCACCCTGCCCTCTCAGCACTGGGACCTTATCTGACTTGGACAATTGTAGACTCTGTGCTGCCACGGTCTCTGAGTTGACATGTGCACCACACCTTTTGAGTCTAGAAGACCTTGTTTCCTCGGTGTCTTCCTCCCCTGTGTTCTTACAGTCTTTCTGCCTCCTCTTCCTCAGTCTCTGAGCCCTGAGCAGAGGGGTTCGATGCAGATGTCCCATTTAGGACTGAGTGTTCCAGTGTCTCTCAGTCTTTGCACACTGTCCAGTTGTAGGACTCTGTATTAGTTCCCACCTACTGCAAGAGAAAGAAAGCCTCTCTAATAATGGCTGAGTGTGGCACTGACCACGCCCATTGGGGGTGGGGACAGGGACAGTCGTGACCTAAGGGAACTAGGTCTAGGGAAGGGGCCTGTAGTGCTCTCTTGCTTGTAGGACGGGCAGAGAGCATCTGGAGGCATCCCTGGGACCAGAACCTGTTGGTGTTCATCTGTCTCTGTTGTAAGTTATTTCTCCCTGAATAAACATCTATTCAGCCTGTTTTTCCTAATTCTTATTAAACCACGATATGAGTGAGACACTTATCTGTGTGTATAGCAGAATGTTGTTAGGAATCATTTTGCTATGCTACTTTAGCAGAACAATAGTGTTTGGCTTTCCTATAGGCTCATGGCTTATCTAGTAATAGGTTCTTGGCCACCCAAACAGTGTCGGGCATGGGTTCCATCTCAGGGAGTGAGTCTTTAATCCAATCCAATAGTGGTTATGTCCACAATGTTTGTGCTACTACTGCACTAGCATTTTATGCAGGCAGGCCACTAGTCTCATGGAGTAGTGACTCAACTAAATGTAACCCGTTCCTGGCACTGGTAGTTTGATTTGGTGTCAGAGGATATTTAGTTGGGACACTTCATTTAGATTTCCATACTAACCAATAAATAAATAGATAAGTAAATTTCTTTTGAGTAGCATCTAAAGGTTTCTATATGACTCTTCAAATGGCCCTTAATGTTAGTGTCCTTCCTTAACATTTCCTCCTTTATTCCACTAATTGATCCACATGTAATTCTTTGTTTACATTCCCCCTCAACTGTCTCTCTATAACTATATATCCTGGTTCTATTTGGAGTAGATTTTTGTGTAGGTAACTAACTATACAGCCATCTAGTTTGACCAGCACCATTTGATGAAGATGCTATGTCTTCAGTGTGAATTTCTTGCTTCTTTGTCAAGAATTGGGTGTCCATAGGTGTGCGGACTTATGTCTGGGTCTTCAGTTTGATTCTGTTGATCAGTTGTGAAAATTGTGTTTTCAATTTCTGTGAAGAATTGTGTTGGGGTTTTGATGGGGATTGCATTCAATCTGTAGATTGTTTTTGGGAGGGTGGCCATTTTCACTATATTAATTTTGCTGGTCAATGAATGTTGGAGATCTGGCCATCATATGATATCTTCTTTGACTTCTCTAATGTCTTAAATGTTTTCATTATAAAAGGCTTCCACATGCATAGTTAGAGTTATTGCAAGGATATTTATGTATTTATTTTTTGAGGTTGTTGTGAGGGTACTGTTTTCCTGATTTCTTTCTTAGTCTGTTATTTGTATATGGGAATGCTTCTGATTTTTTGTGTGTTCATTTTGTATTCTGCTAGTTTGCTGAAACTGGTAGTTTTTAGGATCACTTGCATATCAAATCATATCATTGTCCAATAAAGATGCTTTGACTTTTTCTTTTCCTATTTATGCTCTTCAGTTGACTAATTGCTCTAGCTAAGACTTCCAAGTACTTTCTTGCAGAGGCATGGAGAGAACGGACAGCCTTATCTTGTTCCTGATTTTAGTGCAAATACTTTGAGTTTCTCTTCATTTAAGTTGATTGCCTTTATTGTGTTATGTCATTTGTATCCACACTCTTTCCAGGGCTTTTGCCATGAAGGAATGTTGGATTTTTGTCGGAGGCCTTTTAGTCCGTTTATGTGGTGGATTTCATTTACTGATTTATATGTATTTAGTCATCTCTGCATGTCTGTGATGAAGCCTACTTGATAATCGTAAATGATCTTTTAAATATATATGTTCTTAGATTTAGTTTGCCAGTACTTTATTGAGAATTTTGCATCTATGTTCTTAAGGGAAATTGATCTGTAATTTTCTTTATGTGATTTAGGTATCATAAAAAGAATTGGGCAACATTTCTTCTGTTTCCCTTTATGCAATAATTTGAGGAATATTGGGGTTAATTCTTCTTTGAAAGTTTGGTAAAATTCTGCACTGAAACCATCTGGGCTTTTTTTTTTTGGTTGATAGAATTTAAATGACTGCTTCTATCTCACTAGGGGTTATAAATTTGTTTAAATTGGATATCTGTTCTTGATTTAATGTTGGTAGGTTGTCTATATGGAGAAAATTATCCATTTCTTGTAGATTTTGCAATTTGGTGGAGTTCAGAGTTTTAAAGTCAGTTTATTTGTTTTTAATTGGACGATTTCAGCTCTGAGTTTGACTATTCTTTGCTGTCTATTCTTTGGGTGTTATTTCTTCTTTCTGTTGTAGAGTTTTCTAAGTTGCTACTAGATTGCTAATGTTAGATCTTTCCTTTTTTTTTTTTTTTTTTTTTTTTTTTTTAAGGAAGGCAGTTCGTGTTATGAAGCTTGTCTCTTAGGACTGTCTTGATTACATCCCTACATAGTATTGTGTATGTTGTGTTTTCATTTTTATTCAGTTTTTGAACATTTTAAATTTCGTTTTTGATCTCTGCCTTGATCCATTTTTCAGTAGTGAGTAGGGCAGTTTCCATGAGTTTGTATACTTTTTTTTTTTTTTTTTAAAGATTTATTTATTATGTATAGTGTTCTGCCTGCACGTATGGCTTCAGGCTAGAAGAGGGCCACAGATCTCATTATGGATGGTTGTGAGCTACCATGTGGTTGCCTGGACTTGAACTCAGGACCTCTGGAAGAACAGCCAGTGCTCTTAATCACTGAGCCATCTCTCCAGCCCCATACTTTCTGTTCTTGCTATCCATTTTTAGTCTGCAGTAGTCCAGTAGGATATAGGGTGTTATTTCAGTTTTCTTTTTTCTGTTGAGGCTTGCTTTGTATCTAAGTGTGTGTTCAGTTTTGGAGAATGTCCCATGGGCTGCTGAGAAGAAAGCATATTCTTTGGTATTGGGGTGAAATGTTTTGTAACAATCTGCTAAGTATATTTAATTTATGATGTTATTAAACTCCATCATCTCTGTTTAGTTTATGTCTGGATGACCTATTGGTGAGAATTGGATATTGAAGTTTACTCAATGTTAATATGTGATTTTAGCTGTAGTAGTATTTCTTTTATGAACTTGAATGCCCTTGTATTTGGTGTATATATATTTAGAATTACAATATTCTCTTGGTGTAGTTTTCTTTTGAGAATGTAGTGCCCTTCCCTATCACTTCTGATTGGTTTAGTTTTGAAGTCTTATTTTGTCAGATATTAAAATCGCTATACCTGCTGACTTCTTGTTCCCATTTGTGTAATTTGTGAAAATTGTGTTTTGAATTTCTGTGAAGAATTGTGTGTTGGAATTTTGATGGGGATTGCTTTGAATCTGGGGATTGCTTTTGGTAGGATGTTGTTTCTCTTCAGCCTTTAATGTTACAGCCATCCTATTCAGAGCAGCTGCAGCTCCACCACAAGACAAGGCCACAAGAGCTGAAGCCTGAGTGAATTCTGTTCCCTCAGGCACCAACTCTTTCAAAGCTACTAATGATACTTACTTAAATTTCTTTTTTCACTAAGGAACTCAAGATTCAAAGGTTGAGGTAGAATCCTGCTTCCCCTAGAGGCTGAATAACAAGCAGCTCTCCTCCTAGAGTTTCTCAAAAAGTCCTCCTGTTTTTTCTTGCCCTCTTTATAAACTTTCTTTGCCTGCTTCCTCCCTATAACTTCCTGTCAGCTAGTTGCTGACCCAGCCTCCTGACCACAGATGAATTTTATTTAATCAAACACATCTTTGCATCATTAAAAAATGTTTCAGATCATAAACAAAAGTAACATACCTTATATTAATATCCTACAACTTACTTATATCTCTATATATAAATACTTTGTTTACATGTGTAGAACAGGAAAAAAGAAGGGTTTGATTAATCATTAGCTTTTAGGTCTGGTCACAGTGTAAACTTGATAGGATTTAAGGATTAGTAAATCTATAGATTCTGTTGAATTTTTTACAGATGTATATTTTTTTTCCTTTGGAGCCCCACCCCCATTTTCCTCATTTGAATTTAAAGCACTTTA